CGGAGATTTAGGTATTGTCATGCATGGCAAGTAACGATTGTATTCGCATTACACAAATTGTGTGTATTGGACAGTGTTACGCGTGCTTGCTACCTAAGTCAAGCGACGTCATAGAATGAACTAAGCAAGAAGATGATGTTCGTGTTTACGTTTAATTTACTTTGTGTTAAAAAGTCAGCAGTGTTGCTAAGAGATCTGAATCAGCAGTATAATTGCGAAGAGACTGGTTTGTTTAAAGTGTACCACGCGCTGTTGTAAACAGTTGTTATGGATCACCTGTCGGTGGTGACTGTAAGGATCACAGTTTGTTTATACGCTGGGAACGGTAATCTATGTTTGGATTATGTCTTTTAAGATCTATATCGGCCATGATATGTAATTCTTATCCGAGAAGAAAGGAAGAGATGTAGTATTCCTGGCTAATTACACCAATGATTAGCTCTAATTCGTTGATGTTTCAATACAGTTGCAAATTGTGTGAGAAGCCTCTTTGGAATAAATGGCTGAACCAGCAAAGGTTTAACAAACATATTGTTGTATTGTACATCTATTGTCCCTAATTGGTATCAAATTGCCATAATCATAGAAGCAGTGTATTTACATACCTATTACTAGGATCAGTGCAAAGTAATGATTGAGCTGGTATTATATGGCGGGCAGAGAACACAGGTAATGGTCATTGAGATTATAAACCATTTTTCTCGAACTCGGCATGCAAAAAACATCATCGAGTAAATAATGAAGTTGGCGGTGGCAGAGGGCTATAATCTGATCGTCCGATCTATTAAAGCGACTCTTAGTGAGAGGGAAATTTCGTGAAAAGGAAAAGGCGACAACTTTAAATGTGCGGGGACCGCATCTAAGCCAAAAGTGTAATCAATTCCGCGAGAAAGCAAAATAATGTTAACAATTCGAAGATTGTTTATAGCTCTTTGGGTTGGCGCTTAAATTGTAATGCTATAATAATGTTATTAATGCTGAATTACATAATCAAGTCAGAGGAAAGATGTGCGTTTAGGCGTATTTTCATACTAAAATCTTGTCTCTCTCGATAATCTTAGAGTATAATTATTCGTTTTACTGGAATCGCTAACAGCAATTGGTGCAAGTGGAACTAGAGAGACCAACAACTATAGATATGATACAGTGTGAAAACCAGCTGTCTGCATAGCATTATGTAATTTGATCATTATTATATTTGATTTTATTCGACATTTCGACGTTAGCGGAACAGTCACAGCACACACCCGGCTTCGTTACCAATGAATCAGATTTAACGATAGCTCTTGGAATCACAATACTGACTATAAATAAAGATAAGATCAACTTCCAGTTTTGAATAAAAAAATAGAAATATAGAATCTTCGAGTGGGCAGCCCTGGGTACTGCGAAAATGTAGAACTATTCAAGGTAGAGAATGGCCGCCTAGCAGTAAATTGATACGTTGCCACCAAACAAAAAGTGCCTGCAATACATTCGCCATGTTCTCATAATGGAGAAAGACCGGCGTCATATCATCTATGTTTAGGTGTTTAGGTCATATATTATTTTATGTAATTATAATGAATATAATGGTATAATATATGTAGTAAGAGCATGTGTTATATAATATCTAAGCATACGAACAGTGTTGCTATATCAACGGGTAAAGTAGCTAAAAAACACAGGCAGATGGGTAAGTATTAGATGAAATGTCAGAAATAAATTCATAACAGGAGCAATTAAATTTACATACGGAAATAAATTTCGTTCATAACAGCTATCGTTTACTGTAAAAAATGAAAGACCGAACATCAAGAACGCCTCCAAAAAATCAACGACACTAGGCAGCGGAACAACATTTCGCAGGGCAGCATCAACTCATTTTATTTCACAGTAAATAGATCACTAAGCTTCAACGGTCCACAATAGTAGATGTATTCTCTGCAATGCTATAACATCAAACATAATATATCACGAACTAGTATAGCTGATATACGTGATCGTACAAAGAAAATGAAGAGATGCATCTCGAGTAGTTTTGATCTTTAACTGTACCTACGCGGTGCGGTGTTATTGGATTTGTATAATTGTTGATCGTAGGCCTATGTGTGTGCGATATTGTTACTTATTCTGACTATGTCCCGAACCACGTGTGATTTGACTTACACTGCGCGAATATATATATTTCGAAGAAAAGAACAACAGAATTTTTCCAACGTCATTAAACATTTTTGGTCAGTGAATGAAAAAATTCGCAGTACGAACACGATGAGCTTAACTTTAGCACAGGCATATTTCAAGACTTTGCCAATTTCTTTTTCATGTGTATCCTGCACCTGTCCTTCAAAATTAAAATAGAACAGCTAAAAGCTATTCAAACTTAGTTGGGATATCGGTCAATTAGATGACAAATAAAGTACGATTATTTGTATATTAGAAAGATAAGCAAGAATATTCAGTTAGGAAATAATGACAACAATGTAGAGAGTGCAGATACTTTACACCTTGTTTTTATCGCTTCTGCATAAATGATTTAAATAAATTTCACGTGTTTCTACTGGCTTCTCGATTGGCGAGTTAGATAAGAGCGTGAAGACGAAACCACCCAATAGTGACTAGTCTAGTTTGAAAAAAGCACACTTAGTGCCTAGTGATGTAATGGCGATATAGTCCAACACACGAGGAAAGCATGAAGGCTACAGCTTACCATAGCTAGGTATACATACCAAAATAAACTAATAATCTCTAAAATTAGATTGTGTCCTTCTCGGTAGTAATAACAGCTGGCCTAATTACAGGTTCTATCCTGACTGGACTTTTGCTATCGGCAAGCTGCCATAATTACCACCCAGCCAACACTGATGAAACAGTATGCAAAGAATGCTGATCTCTAGGGGTTACGGGCTCGTGAATGCTTGCATGATTAATGTGTAGCGATAATACACGTATAACATACGATTATCATAAACTAATACAATTAATAAAACTTCGTGTCCGTTTTCACGTTTGTATTTACGCCACATCACCAGGAGTTGTTACCGGTTGTTCGTTTCCACCGATTAAAACGTTGTTTAAATATTCAGCGGATCTTTATACATGACTTTTTTAACATTGTTTTCCTTTCTCTAATATGTCTTCAGTTTGTGTCGCCAATCTACACGAATAACACCGACAATGTAAATCCGCTCCACGGGTAAAAGCGTGAGCAATCAAATACATGTCTTCGTTCACGGATCACACAGGTCCAGTAGCAGTCAGATAATTTGTGCAAGTCCAATGTCAATATGTCACGCTGAGCCTGCCCAGACTCCCCAGTATAGACACAGTTAGAGGTAAGGCCCAGCTCGCTATCCGCTGTGAGAAACATCTTATATAAAATGTTGCACCAGGGCAGAGATTAGTGATCCGCTAGGCGACGGCTGCTGAATTGCTAAGTTTTTGTCTCTTACTTAGTTTTATTTTTATTATTTTGGGCTAATTTGGTTTTTTAGAATTATGGATAGGGTTAAGTTAATGTTAGGATTAGATTAGTGTTAGGTTAAGGGTATAGTGGTTGTGGCTTAGGGTTAGGCTTTAGGGTTAACTTGATTCTATAGTGCCACAACTGTATTTAAATTACTAATAATACGCATCTAGCAGGATGCACCATTTCTCCACTGAGATCTACTTTATATATATACATTATCTGATGTGTTTCACATGTTGTGCTTTTTTGGTCACACACGTGTAGCATGACACGTAGTGTGTTCAGATTGATGGCCAAGGCATTTGCGTCTTCAGGGCGCCGTAGCCCTGACGGTGTGCAGGTTAGGGCTACGCTGCCGCCCTAGATTTTGCAGCAACCTCTTAAAAATAAGTCTTGGCTAATATTATAAATAAGCCATAACCTAATTTTTTTTTGGTCCAATTATCCGTGAAAGGCGCTGCTCAAGACGCCACCCCTACCACATACTATGACGTCGATAAGAGAGCTGCAGCCCGCATACGCTCATCATTACAAAGTTCATGTAGAGAAATTTTGCCCCCCCTCTAGGATTGTGCTCAAGGCTACGGCCCTGGGTCTTTATTTATCATTAAGAAACTTTGGAATTACGAATCGACATAAATCAAACCCACATTCTTTAATTGCATAAACGGATTCACACCTTGATATACTCATCATATACTTTGTACGTTCGCTTGTAACTAGATTTAATGTAAATATAATTACGGATATGGTAATATTGACAACAAACTGGTTTAAAGAATTTGTGTTGTTGACAATAATCATTTGCTGCTTAGGTAGAAAATGGAATAACTACGCTGGCAAGCTGCAACCTATAGTATGTTACATAAAGATTTCCAACGTGGCATGACTACACGGGAAGATCTCTTGTAAATTATTCTATATCATTCATTACACCCTTCCGTACCTTTCCTTATAAGCACGATTTCTCCGCACCTTGACCAAATACTATAAATTAATTCAACAACAGTAAGCACTTCGTACTTACTTATAGGTGGTGGTGTAGGAACGTACGCCCGTGCCAATGTCGAAGCTATGCAGCCACACATGTCAGCCGCGTTGTTCAGGGACATAAACGAGGATTCTATGCACAGGTAAAGATAGTTCTTCTCCATATGATCTCAGCATCAAGTGTAACATCATCGCTGCTTTTGTTACATAACATGCTCAACATCGATGACATTTGATCGTCGTGCCGTATTTGATGAGTTTCGTGCCAGGATTGGTCGCGAATTTACTTCAACCTTGTCAGTGGTAGCAGGGCTATGTTCGCTGTGGAACACTTCACATGAAATCAACTCTGGTTTCATTGGCCAGCCGGTTATGAGTCACCTGAAATGAATGTAAGCTTGATGTAGTACTTTGGTTACTGCACGGAAATCTAAAGCAATAAAATCTTCTCACAATTGTTTGGTAATCAGGACAAGGACCCACTGAATACCCACCCCGGACAACACACCCCCCGGCAATCACCCCTCTGACAATTACCACTCAGGATCAATCAACATCCGGGCATTCACTACTCCGGACAATCACTCCGGAAATCACTCTCGAGCGACAAGTCACCACGGACAATCACCTCCGACAATCAACCCCTCGAAATCACGCGGTGGACAATCACCTCCGGACAAATCACCTCGTGGGACAATCACCGCCGAACAATCACCTCCTCTGGAGTGCTGTGTTTTTAGCTACTTACCCGTTGATTATAGCAACACTGTTCGTATGACTATAGATTTATATAACACATGACTATTATACATATATTATACATATATTCATATATTACTAAAATATATATGACTAAACATAAACATAGATGATATGACGGTCTTTCTCATTATGAGAACATGGGAAATGCATTGAGGCACTTATGTTGGTGGCAACGTGTCAATTAATGCTAGGGGCCATTCTCTACTTGAATAGTTCTACATTTTCGCAGTACCCAGGGCTGCCCCACTCGAAGAATTCTATATTTTATTTAAAAAAAACTGGAAGTTTATCTTTTTTGTCAGTATTGTGTTCCAAGAGCTATCGTTAGAATTTATTCTTGGGAAGAAGGCGTGTGTGTGTGTGTGTGTGTTCGCTAACGGTCGAAATGTCAATAAAATCAAATATAATAATGTCAAATACATAATGCTATGAGCCAGCTGTTTCACACTGTCATATCTATAGTTGTTGGTCTCCTGTTCCACTTCACCAATGCTGTTAGCGATTCCAGTAAAACGAATAATTTTACTCTAAGATATCGGAGAGAACAAGATTTAGTATAAAATTACGCCTAAAAGCACATCTTTCCTCTGATTGATAGTAATTAGCATTATAACATTATTATAGCATTACAATTTAGCAGCGAAAAAAGCTATAAGAAATTCGAATTGTGACATATCTTGCCTTTCGCGAATTGATTAACTTTTTGTGCTTAGATGCGTTTAAAAGTTGTCCGCTTTTCCTTTCACGAAATTTTCCTCTCATAAGAGTCGCTTAAAGATCGACATCAGCTTAGCCCTTACCACCGCAATTTATTCATTTACTCATGATGTTTGCTGCCAGGAGAAAAATGTTTATAATCTCAATACCATTACTGTGTTCTCTGCCGCATATAATACCAGCTAATCATACTTTTGCACGATCCTAGTAATAGGTTATGTAATAACTGCTTATGATTATGGATTTAACCACTTAGGACAATAATGTACACGACAAAATATGTTTGTTAACCTTGCTGGTCAGCCATTTATTCCAAGAGGCTTCTCCCACAATGCAACTGTTTGAACATAACAATTAGAGCAATCATTGTGTAATAGCAGAATACTACATCTCTCCTTTTCTCGGATAAGAAATACTATATGTGCCGCATATAGATCTTAAAGACATAATCAAACATAATTACCGTTCCGGTATAAAACAAACTGTGATCTTACAGTCACACGACAGGTGTCCATAACAACTGTTACAACAGCGCGTGTTACACTTTAAACACAACAGTCTCAGTGCGCAATTTACTCTGATCAGTCTTAGCAAACTCTGACTTTGTAACACAAAGTAATTAAACGTAAACACAAAATATCTTCTTGTTAGTCATTCTATGACGTGTTCTGACTAGGTAGCACGACGCGTAACATGTCAATACACACAATTTGTGTAATGAAATACAATCGTTACTTGCATGCATGAAATACCTACTATAAACATTTTGAGTAAACAATAGTGATAGACTGTAGGTAGATTGCCTACGTCTAAGCTTTGCTCAGGGATTATCTGCCCGTGACACGAGTAGGTGATTGTCAGGGGGTGATTGTCCGGAGGTGATTGTCCGGTGGTGATTATCCGGAGTAGATTGTCCGGAGTAGATTGTCCGGAGGTGAATGCCCGGAGGTGATTGTTCTGAGGTAATTGTCAGGGGGTGATTGTCCGGGGGGTGTTGTCCGGGGTGAGTATTCCAGGGGTTCTTGTCCTGATACCAAATGAATGTGAAGAAGATTTTATTGCTTTAGATTTCCGTACAATAACCAAGTACTACATCAAGCTTATATTCATTCCAGGTGATCATAACCGCTGGCCAATGAAACCAGAGTTGATTCATGTGGAAGTGTTCCCAAGCGAACATAGCCCTGCTACACTTAACAAGGCTTGGAATAAATTCGACCAATTGGCACGAAACCTCATCAAATACGGCTACGACGATCAATTCATCGATGTTGAGATGTTTGTAACGAAGCAGGATGATGTACACTTGATGGAGATCAATGGAAGAACTATCTTTACTGTGCATAAATCCTCTTATGTCCTGAACAACGGTGACATGGTGGCTGCAGTAGTCGACATTGCCACGGGCGTACGTCCTACACCACCAACCTATAAGTAAGTACGAAGTGCTTATGTGTTAATTAATTATAGTATTGGTCAAAGGTCGGATAAATGTGTTAAAGGAAAGGTACGGAAGGTGTAATAAATAATAGAATAATACAGAGATCTTCCCGTGTAGTCATGCACGTGGGAAGTTATGTAACTAGTATAGGTTGCAGCTTGCAGCGTAGTTTTCCCTTTTCTAGCCAACAGCAATGATTATTGTCAACAACACAAATCTTTAAACCAGTTGTTTGTCAAATTACCATATCCGTATTATTTTACATTAATCTAGTACAAAGAACTTACAATTATATGAGTATACCAATGTGATCCGTTACGCAATTAAAGATTGGGGTTTGATTTATGTGTTTCGTAATTCCAAAAGCTTCTTAATGTAAACAAAGACCAGGGCCGTAGGCTGAGCAAATTCGTAGGGGGGGGCAAAATTTTCTAACATAACTTTGTAATGATGAGCGATGGGCGCAGCTCTTAATCGACGTCCATAATGTGGTAGGGGTGGGTCTGAGCCAAGGCTTTCACGGATAATTGACCAAAGAAAATTAGGTTATGGTTATTTATAATTATTAGCCAAGCTTATTTTTTAAGTTTGCTGTAAAATCTAGGGAGCAGCTGCCCTAACCTGCCACCGTCAGGCAACGGCCCTGAAGACGCCAAATGCCGTGCATCAAATGAACGACACATACGTCGTCATGTAACACTGTGTTGACCAAAAAAGTAAACATGTGAACGTTCAGATAATGTACTATATATAAAGTAGATTTCAGGGGAGAAATAGTGATCCGCTAGATGGCGTATTATTAGTATAAATAAGTTGTGGATATAGAAATCAGTTAACCCTAAGCCTAACCCTAAGGCTAACCTTAACCCTAACCCTAACACTAACCCTAATCCTAACATTAACCTTAACCCTATCCATAATTCTAAAATAAAACAAAATTAGCCAAAAATAAAAAAAATAAAAATAAGTAAGAGACAAAATTAGCCAATCAGAGCCGTCCCTTAGCGGATCACTATCTCTCCCCTGTGCAAATTGTATATAAATGTTTTCTACACAGCGGAAAGCGAGCTGGCCTTCTCTACCTGTCTATACTGGAGTCTGGGAGGCTAGGTGACATAATTGACATGGAATTCCACAATTATCTGACTGTACTGGACCTGTGTGATCCCGTGAACGAAGACATGTATGTTGATTGCTCACGTTTTACCCGTGGAGGATTTATTGTCGGAGTTATTCGTGTAGATGGCGACACAACTGAAGACATATTAGAGAAAGGAAAACAAATGTTAAAAAAGATGTATAAAGATCCTGAATATTTAAACAAGTTTTAATCGTGGAACAGACAACGGTAACAACTCCTGAGTGCGTAAATACAAACTGAAAACGAAAAATAAGTAAGAGACAAAATTAGCCAATCAGAGCCGTCCCCTAGCGGATCACTATCTCTCCCCTGTGCAAATTGTATATAAATGTTTTCTACACAGCGGAAAGCGAGCTGGCCTTCTCTACCTGTCTATACTGGAGTCTGGGAGGCTAGGTGACATAATTGACATGGAATTCCACAATTATCTGACTGTACTGGACCTGTGTGATCCCGTGAACGAAGACATGTATGTTGATTGCTCACGTTTTACCCGTGGAGGATTTATTGTCGGAGTTATTCGTGTAGATGGCGACACAACTGAAGACATATTAGAGAAAGGAAAACAAATGTTAAAAAAGATGTATAAAGATCCTGAATATTTAAACAAGTTTTAATCGTGGAACAGACAACGGTAACAACTCCTGAGTGCGTAAATACAAACTGAAAACGGACACAAAGTTTTATTAATTGTATTAGTTTATTATACGATATGTATACGTGTATATCGATACACATAATCCATGCAGATTAACGTAACGTAGAGATAGAGACATTCTGCATCTGTTTAATCAGGTTGGCTGGGGGTAATTTATGCAGCTGCTACACACAAAGTCCAGTCAGGATAGAAACCTGAAATTAGGCCAGCTGGTTATTACTACCGAGAAGGACACAATCTAATTTAGAATTATTAGTTTATTTTGATATGTATACTAGCTATGGTAAAAGTGTAGCCTTCATGCTTTCCTCGTGTGTTGACTATATCGCCATTCACATAGACTAAGATGTGCTTTTTTAAACTAGACTAGTCACTATTGGGCTGGTTCTTCTCACGTTTATCTAACTCACAACGAGAAGGCCAGTAGAAACACGTGAAATTACTAAATATTTATCAGAGCGAAAAAAAAGGTGTAAAGGTATGCACTCTCTACATATTGTCATTATTCCTAATGAAATATCTTGCTTATCTTTCTATATACAACTTATCATACTTTATTGTCATCTACATTGACCGATATCCCAACTAAACTTTGGAATGTTTAGCTGTTCTATTATAATTTTGAAGACAGTGCAGGTACATCATAAAAAAAACTTGGCAAAGTCTTGAAATGCCTGTGTAAAGTTAACTCATCGTGTTCTCTTGGAATTTTTTCATTCACTGCAAAAATGTTTTAAGACGTTGAAAGAATTGTGTTTTCTTTCTCGAAAAATATATATATTCGGCTGTAAGTCAAATACACGTGGTTGGGAATAGTCAGATACGTAACAATATGCACACACATAGGGCCTACGATCAACAATAATAAAAATCCAAATAACACGCACGCGTAGGTACAGTTAAGATTAAACTATCGAGTGCATCTCTTATTTTCTTGTACGATCCCGTATATCACTATACTAGTCGTGATATATATGTTTGATGTTATAGATTGCAGAGAATACATCTACTATTGTGACCGTGAAGCTTAGTGATCAATACTGTGAAATAAATGAGTGATGCTGTGCGAAATGTTGTTCCTGTCGTTGATTTTTGAGGCATTCTTGATGTTCGGTCTTTTCATTTTTGTAAACGAAAAAGTTGATGAAGAAATTTATTTCCGTAGTAAATAATTGCGCGATGAATTATTGACATTTCATCTAATACTTACCCCATCTGCTGTGTTTTTAGCTACTTACCCGTTGATTATAGCAACACTGTTCGTATGACTATAGATTTATATAACACATGACTATTATACATATATTATACATATATTCATATATTACTAAAATATATATGACTAAACATAAACATAGATGATATGACGGTCTTTCTCATTATGAGAACATGGGAAATGCATTGAGGCACTTATGTTGGTGGCAACGTGTCAATTAATGCTAGGGGCCATTCTCTACTTGAATAGTTCTACATTTTCGCAGTACCCAGGGCTGCCCCACTCGAAGAATTCTATATTTTATTTTAAAAAAACTGGAAGTTTATCTTTTTTGTCAGTATTGTGTTCCAAGAGCTATCGTTAGAATCTATTCTTGGGAAGAAGGCGTGTGTGTGTGTGTGTGTTCGCTAACGGTCGAAATGTCAATAAAATCAAATATAATAATGTCAAATACATAATGCTATGAGCCAGCTGTTTCACACTGTCATATCTATAGTTGTTGGTCTCCTGTTCCACTTCACCAATGCTGTTAGCGATTCCAGTAAAACGAATAATTTTACTCTAAGATATCGGAGAGAACAAGATTTAGTATAAAATTACGCCTAAAAGCACATCTTTCCTCTGATTGATAGTAATTAGCATTATAACATTATTATAGCATTACAATTTAGCAGCGAAAAGAGCATATAAGAAATTCGAATTGTTAACATTATTTTGCTTTCGCGAATGTATTAACTTTTTGTTTAGATGCCGTTTAAAAGTTGTCCGCTTTTCCTTTCACGAAATTCCCTCTCATAAGAGTCGCTTAATAGATCGGACATCAGATTAGCCCTTGCCACCGCAATTCATTCATTTACTCATGATGTTTGCTGCCAAGGAGAAAAAATGTTTATAATCTCAATACCATTACTGTGTTCTCTGCCGCATAAATACCAGCTAATCATACTTTGCACGATCCTAGTAATAGGTTATGTAATAACTGCTTATGATTATGGAATTTAACCACTTAGACAATAATGTACAATACACAAATAGTTTGTAAACCCTTGCTGTTCAGCCATTTATTCCAAGAGGCTTCTCGCACAATGCAACTGTTGGAACATTAACGAATTAGAGCATTAATTGTGTAATAGCAGAATACTACATCTCTCCTTTTCTCGGATAAGAAATACTATATGTGCCGATATAGATCTTAAAGACATAATCAAAATCAGAATTACCGTTCCGGTATAAAACAAACTGTGATCTCTTACAGTCACACGACAGGTGTCCATAAACAACTTTACAACAGCGCGTGGTACACTTTAAACACAACCAGTCTCTGTCGCAATTACTCTGATCAGTCTTAGAAAACTCTGATTTGTAACACAAGTAATTAAACGTAAACAAAAAATATCTCTTGTTAGTCATTCTATGACGTGTTCTGACTAGGTAGCACGACGCGTAACATGTCAATACACACAATTTGTGTAATGGAAATAATCGTTACTGGCATGCATGAATACCTCTATAAAATTTTGAGTAAACATAGTGATAGACTGTAGGGGTAATTGCCTACGTCTAAGCTTTCTCAGGGATTGATTCGCCGTGACACGAGTTTAAGTCTGCATGCGTTAGTTAATTGTCACTGGCGCGGTAGGCACTTATTCACAATGGACAGGTCAAATGTCATCTGGGGGACAGCACAGACAGACACCCACATCTCCATAGCGGGTCTGGAGCCTTTTGTTGCCTGATAGTCGGCCTCGTTCCCGCGTTCGGCTTCCGTCCGGTTTATAACGTTGTCGTAGGACGGCGTTTGCCCTCATCCGGTGTGACGAAATTCTTTCTCCTCTGAGATCGTTTCGTTTGTATGTCACGTTTGTGGTGGACTCGATCACACGCTGTTTCCCCTTTTCTCCCAACGCCTGTAACTGGTCGGGGCTTGAAGTCTGGGTAAGTTTTACATCGACTCTTCCTATCTGCCTGACCAAACACGCGGTCACCCCGGTGCTATGTCGCTTTACGCGTTTCTGCTTAGGGCGGCGTACGATTTTGCCTCCAAAATCTTCTCTTTCCCAGTCTCATGTCCTCATATTCCCCGAGCGTTCGGCCACGAATTGACGGAAGTTCTGGAAGTTTTCGTCCGAATTGCTCTGCTGAAAACACAAGTCGCCTGCGCGTTTTTCCAGCTGAACCGCTGGTGCGGAGTCGTGCGATAAGATCGGGAGTTGACACTAGCTCCGGTTCGCCAAGCTTTCTGCCTTCGAGCGATGCGCGATCTTCATTGCTTTTCAACATGGAGCGGTTCTTGCGCGTTTCCCTTCACCCATTATGCGCGTGCCACAAATGCGCGTGACCTTTCCATGGATCTATACTTGTTCTCTGGACAACCGAACTTCACCGATGTCTCTGCTCTAAACTGATGGTCCCGTTCGTCGCTGGTAGTGCGTGAACGGTAGTCGTGACTTGCAAACATCATTACTTAACAGCTCGATCATGTTGCTCGCAGTACACTGATGTCGTGAATCTCCGCTTCATATAGTATCTGCGAAGTAAGGAATCTACGACAACAAATATATATTCTCCTGTTCAGCATCGATCCTAGTAGGTCGACATGGCTAAGTCTTGCACTTTCCCGGGTGGCCCAGTTCGGTTGGCCAATACTGGTATTCGGATTGGTTCGAGTTAGCACTAGACTGAACTCTATGCAGGCTCCGACAAATTTCTCTACATCCTTGTCGAACCTTGGCCACCAACTCTTGTGCGGAGCCGAAGTCTTGTGCCGGACATCCCATCATAACCTTCATGGAGCCAATGCAGTTGACCTTTTGACGCAAACATCTACCGGGATTACCATTTTGAGTCCCTCGCCTCACGATTGACATGCGGTACAGTTCCTGCTCACCCAGAACTGTAAATATATTGGCACAGTGCGGGTTTCCCAAACTCGCCCCGTCTCGATGCATTTTCAAACATGTGTCAGTCTCGAATGTCCTGTGGTGAGCACTCCTCGACTTCTCGTGTGGTCATGGCCCTGGGAGTTGCCTTCGGTTGCCGACGAATCTTACCTATTCTTCGCTCTTTTTCCGCGTTAGTCGGTGCCTCATCATGTTGTTCAACAGACGCGAAAAAGCGGCGTCCGCATATATCGTAGTTCCGGCCACGTGTCAAAATCGGAACTCATGCGGCTGTAGACGGAGCGACATCTCTCGATCCGAGCACATGGTTTTGACTTTGGCGAGTAGATTACCTCTAACGGCTTGTGGTCCGTCACCAAGTCGAATTTCACACCATACACGTATGAATGGAATTTCTCGCCAAACAAGGACCAGAGCTTTTTGCTCTGT